AACTGCCCACCCAGGGAAAAATTATATATATTCTTTAAAAAATAATAATAAAATGAACACCCATGTATCCACCACGAAGGGTGAGAAATACAATAGAACGGCACCGCGATCTTAGAAACCTCTCCCCCAGCCGTAACCACATCCTTGTTGCCTCCCCCATCGCAGAGAAGGAGTGTCTTGACTTGTAGGTTAGTCCTCCCCTTGCTTTTGTTTATGGTTTCAGCACATGTGGGTGTGCTCCCACACAATGCTAAGAAGCGAGCATAATCCTAACTGTGAAAGGAAAGGACAATCTTGTGTGTGCTAGATGAAGACTTAGGGGAAGAGAGATGCCACAGAGCCTCTTCTTGGTGTGGCTTTGGCTTCTGTGAGAGCTTACAGGGGCCTTTTCTGGGACTGTCAGTGCGCGAGGTCATCAGTGAACCCCGGGAAACAGAGCTCACTAACACGAGGGCGGCTGCGGTGTCAACCAGACCGTGGATGTCTGGATGGAATCCTATTGGGGGCAGCGGGCTGCTCTGCGCTCTCTGCTTCTGAGCTCACTCCCATGTCCCTGTCGCAGGAGCAGGTCAAAGTGGGGCATTTCCTGAGCAGGCAGCGGGGCACGGAGGGGAGAACGGTAGCCTATTGTGCTTGGTCAAGACAAGGCAGGCACCAATAAGAATCGGAGCAGCTTCAGCCAAATGTTCGGACCCGAGGTTCCAAAGATGGTACCTGGCATCAAGGATCCTAATGATGACAGTCATCAATGTCTCCTGAGTTAGTGTCACTGCTCTGAACTGAACTGGTGTGCTCGCTGTGGACTGCTGACCTCCTGGTGTCCCCTCCCCGCCTTCGGAGGCGCTGTCTGCCTCCGCCTGTGGTGACCTCCTGGGACTGCATCCCACGCTTTCCGCTTGCTGGGTTTGCTTTCTGGTTTCCGTGGAGCGCGTTCTTTAGTAGCTTTTCCAGAAACTGTGCCTGAAAGGTAAACATTTTGAACTCTTCTGTGAGTGAAAATGTATATATCCTACCATTTTACTTGATTGCTGGCTTGAATGGATATAAATCCTAGGTTGAAAGTCCAGTCCATTTTTTTCAGTATTTTGAAAGCATTGCTTTTAACTTCTAATGTTGCTGTTGAGAAATCTAAAGACTTCCTGACATCTAATCCTTTGTACATTACTTACTTTTTTCTTTTTTTTTCTGGGGGTTTCTAGATTCTTCTCTTGAATTTGCATTGGTGTGTGTTGGTTTTCATCTCCAGCTCTAGGTCTTAGTGGACCCATCCTATGGTCCTGCGATTCAAGCCTTCATGTCCTCACGTTCAAATCAGTGCACCAGAGATTTCCTCCCTTCCATTTCCCCAATGTTTTTTTTTTTCTTTTTGGAACTTCTATTTGATGCTGAATTCCTAGAATTGTCCTCCAATGTCTATATCTTTTCTTTCCTGTATGTGCTACCTCTTAGCACATTTGCTTTACTTTCTAGGGAGATTTAATCAACATTACCTTTGTCTCTTTCTTTTGATGTGTTTGTTTCTGCCGTTGTGATTTTATTTTCCAGACATAATCATTGCCGTTGCTGTTCTTGGAATGTTCCTTTGTGTTGCACCTTGTTCTGGTTTCATGGACGCTGTACCGTGTCTTATCTGTCTAAGGCTATTCATGATGGTCTTTTCGACACTTCCTTTTCTCTGGAGAACTTGCTCACTGCAAGTTAATTTCTCTGCTTGGTTGTTTTGTCCCTCTGTTCTGCATTAGAACATTTCCTGGACAACTGGGAATTGTTGGCCATGATGAAGGTTGCAGGGGTGGGAAGGCATCTAGGCAAAGACTGAGCTCAAAGGTTGGGTTTGCCACCTTGGGAGAAACGCCTGTGTTGGCATCCTCAGGTCTTTCCCTTGGGCTAGCGGCACACCAGTACCCCCACAAGGAGAGGCTTCCAGTTTCACAAAGGTCCTGCCCCCAGTGCTTTGAGAGCCTGGTGGTGGGAGAAGGCTCAGGGTCTCTGCACTCAGCATTTTACCTGAGGTCATGTAATCCTCTTGCTTTCACAGTTTTCAGTGTGGTACCTCCACTCATAACTGCACTTGAAGCTTCTCCAACCCAGGTATCCTCTATCTTACCTTCGTCAGAGGGAAATGCTCTGGTGTCTGGGTAGGATAGGGGACCGGCTGTTCCCAGTGACTTGGAGTTGGGGAAGAGATCTAGAAATCTAACTCCTTCTCTTCCTGGTTCCTTTTGCTGTTGTTGGTGGTGATGGCATTATTACAGATGTCCCCCACTCCCCATCCTTTGCCCACCCAGCTCCTGGCCCCTTTCTGGCCCTCACCACATTGCGTCTGTGTCCATGGGCTTGGCACACATGCGTATATGTTCTTCGGTTAATCTCTTCTGTTCCTCCCCTTGCCCCACTCCTGGCCCTTATAGTAGCAACCTTTCCCACAGTTCCAGAGGTACCTTGGATTACCAATATCTGTGTCTTCAGAGAACCTTGCTATGTAAATCAGGCTGGTTCTCAATTTCCCCCACTGCCAGCTGATATCTTTTTCTTCAGGGCTGATAAGTCTGTAATTACATGGGTGTTTGCCATCCTGTTTTAAAAATTTTGTGGCTGCTGTCTCTTTTTCTGTTCTCCCCATCCTTGTAAGTTTATCTCTTGATTAAAAAACCTCTTTATTAACCTCGTTATTAATATTAATGGAGTTCTGGGAGGGAGTGAAATCAGAAGTATGCATTCAATCACTATCTTAATCCAGAGCCCTAACTTCCCTTTTCAATATATTTTTTTAAAAATATAATTCCTGGGAATAACTCTACTTGGGTATACAGGGTGGCTATTTTAATGTACTGGGGTTTGTTTATTTCTGTCTTCCCATTTAGAAGTCTTTAAGTGAACATGACTAGCAGGAAATGAGCCATTCTATAAGGAGGGTTGAAGGAAAATGTCTCTAGTGGGGTAAACTTCATTCAGTGTATACGAGAAGACGGATGCCAGTGCGCAGGCTCCAGGAAGCCCCCGAGCGGCCAGACCCTACAGTGAACGCTGAGGGCAGACCCTCTGAATGTGTTGTCCAGGCACCCAGAGTCAATCTCAGACTTCACCACTGAAAGTCCCTGGAGAGGGGTTCAGTTGGTGGGCTGATGTTATCTTTTATCAGTTGGGGGAATTCTGTAAAAAACAAAACAAAACAAAACAGTTCTGGGTGCCTTTTTTAATTTAAAAATTCTGTTGAATTTATCGGGGTGAATTGGTTAATAAAATTATATAGGTTTCAAGTATACATCTGTATGTTTCGTCCAAAGTCAAATTGGATGCCTTTCTAAAATGCAACCCTTGCCCACTTGGGCCCCAGAATTAATTCATTCGTTTGTTATTTGCTTATTTAATATTCACTGAGCATGCGCTGTGGGCAAAGTGCTACGCTAGCTTTCTATAGCTGAGAAAGAACATGCCCCCTAACTACTTAAGCACCGCCTTCCCCAAGAACCTTGGAGAGCGGCTACGGAGGGGGAGATGGAAAGCGGGGGCGGGGGGGGGGGCGTCAGGTTTACATCCAAAGCTGTAGCATGGTGTCAGTAATTTCTCTCTTTCTGTGGCTTGTGGCAAGGAATAAGGGAAGAGACTCCTAAAGCATCCAGCATGGTGTTTGGCACACAGTAGCATGTCCGGATTTGGGGAGCAGCTTTACGTGGTGCAGGAGTCTTGTTTTATGTTCCCACAGTAGCGTTTTTTGGAGGAACATTTTAAGGGATTTAGAGACTCGAGACAACATAAATGAGGCAGTCCTACTTAAACCGGTCACGGTGGCAGCCCAACAAGGGCCATGAAGTATTCACAGTGCGCACCCAGCCCCTCGGTCGCCGTCACCCGGGCGGCAGCCCCGGCCAGGGCTCTCCGGTGCGCGAGGCCGCGCACTCTCTCTTTGACTCCGCGGTTCCCCTCCTGCCCCTGATCGGAAACAAGTTGTAAGCCTCCTCTCACAAGCAGCTTAGCTCACTATTCTCTCTGGCAGACATTTCTGAAAATCTAAGTATTTCTGAGAAATCAGTTTTAGCAAAAAAGAAAAAGAAAGTTACACATAGGAAGCGACGGTCGCCAGTCCGCCCTGTCGGAGGCGTCCCCGCAGCAGGGCGGCCGTTGGAGCTCCAGGTGGTGGGTGGGGAGGGCAGCAGAGAGGCTGAGGTCCAGGCTCCGCCAGCTGCGGAACCTTGGGCGGATTCGCTACTTTTCTGAGCCTTAATTCTGTGAAATGGGGACACGCACAGGGTTGCGGTGAGAACTCATGAGAAGAAAGGTGAAGTGCCTATTACACTTTTACTCACTGCTTAATAAACGTAGTGGGGCCTCTGGCTTGGGGTGCCATTCTGGAGCCAGCTGCCGTGTGTGTGTGTGTGTGTGTGTGTGTGTGTGTGTGTGTGAGAGAGAGAGAGAGAGAGAGAGAGAGAGAGAGAGAGAGAGAGGGGCTGTGAGTCTGTGTACACGGCACACGAGTGCGCGCGCGCGGTGCTCGGCCCGCGGGTGTGTTTCCCGGGGAAGGCGTGCGTGTGGATGGATGTGTGTGATGGGCCGCCCTGCGAGAGTGTGGCTGCCGCGCCAGGCTGAGAACGAGGCGCCCGCGCCCGCCGCGGCTGATCGGCAGCCCTGGGTGAATGAGCGCGCGTGGGGGAGACTGGCACAGACGTGCGCGCCCGCCTGCCGGCCGGGGTGGGGGGCGGACCGCGGACCGCAGACCCCGGTGGGGTGGGAGGAGGAGGGGAGAGGGAGGGAAGGGCGGGAGCGAGGGGAAGTGGGCGGGAGGGCAGTCCGAGCGTGGCTGCCGCGGAGCCCCGGCGCGGGCTGCTCAGCCGGGGAGCAAGGCTCACAGCCAGGAGGCGGCGCCGCGGGGAGCGAGCGCGGCGCGGGCCGGGCCGGAGCGCCGGCCTCGGGACAGCGCTGCGGGCCGCGGGTCGGGCCGGGCCAGACCCCGGGCAGCGCGTTGGCGAAGCCGCAGTTGCCTGGACGAGCCGAGGGGCGTCGGGAGCGACCGAGAGAACCCGCGAGACCCCGCGGATTATCGCCCAGCTGGGCGCCAGGGCCGCCGCGACCGCCCCTTCTCTGGGGACTTGGCAGAGGAGACCCCCCCTTCGGGAGGGGGCCAGAGGAGCAGGTTGGCCAGTCGTGCAGGGTGTGTGTGTGTGTGTGTGTGTGTATGTGTGTGTGCACGCGCGCGCGTGCTCTCGCGCCTGCAGGGTGTGTATGCATGGGGGGTGTGTGTGGGGTGGGGGGGGTGTTGTGTGGAATGTGTCTCTGTAAGGGGTGTGTGAATGTGTGTAGGGGCGTGTGCCTCTCAGTGTGACTGTACATATTGCGTGTGTCTGTGAGGTAGGGGTGTGTGTGTGTGGGTGTGTGAGTGAGACAGCCGGGAGGCTGGGAAGCTCACGGAGCTCGGTCTGAACATATACAGGAGGAAGGGGGCCTCGGCAGGACTGAATGTGTGCGCGCACTTGTGAGCAGGGCTGTGTGAAGGGTGAGCGGGTGAGTGTGTCATGGGTGTTAGGTGTGGCTGTGTGTATGATGTAAGGGTGCCAGGTGCACGTGCATCCCTGGCTCACCCTCACCCACCCTCACCAGATGTGTGTGAAGGGAGGGGGGTCTGGGCAGTGGAGTAGGAGTCTCCTACAGCGGACTCCTGCCCAGTTTTTTTTGCCTTGCCATCTTTCCCAGGAAGCCAGGGATAGCCAGGCTGCCCCTCCCTCAAATGCTCCCCTAGGGTTAAGGGGAAGGGAGCAGGCCCAGCCCCAGGAAAGAGGGGAAAGGCTGAAGGGACAGAGCTTCTGCCAGACCAGAAAGCAGACTGCCTTCTCGGTCTCGGCCAGATCACTCAGCCCTGTGCTTGCTGCCCCGCCCCCCTCACTGGCCCCAGGGCCCTGTGCTCCTGGGTCTGAGTGAATAGAGGGCCAACATCTTAAGTAGGGGCCCAAGGTGGGGGTGGGAGTAGGCTGAGTCTCATCCCTGAGGGTTAGCTTGTTCACAGTTGTATTACCAGAAGGGTGCTGGGCACCTAGTAGCCTCAATGCATATTTGAGGGTGGGAGGGAATGATAGAGGAGAAGGGAGGGACGGGATCTGTGAGTCTGGCAGTCAAGTCTGTCCCATCTACTATCAGTCAAGGATGAGAGCAGCTGTTTGCTGTCATACCCCAGCGCCCAAATTGAACAGGTGGGGGAGGCAGGGATGTAGGGAGAGGGAGCCTTAGGGAGACTGTAGGGAGAGATTTGTACTGGGGCCTGAATGGAGGAAGGAGCTGGCAACTCTCCCTGGGCAGAACCCTTTGCATCCTGTCGCCAGCACCTGCTCCTCTGTGATCAGAAGCGTCTCTCTGAGGCACTCCGTCCAGGTAACCAGGGCTCATGGCGCCTCTCCTCTCTCCAGGACTTTCGTGCTCAAAAGGTGCTGAAGAGTCCCCTGCCTGCCGAGGCCACCTGAGACCAAGTAGGGCCATGGCCGGGCATGGCTGTCTGGGGCTGGGGCTGTTCTTCGGGGTTGTGCTTGCTGTTCCTGTGGGCCCCCAGCCTGCTTCCTCCGTCCCAGGTCCCCCTCTCACCACTTTGACCCCACCACCTCAGAGCGAGGCCTCGATGCTCTCTCTCAACCTGGGACTTAACTTCAAATTTCACCTTCGGGGACCGGCTGCTGCCTGGGGGAGCCCTGTTACGGAGACCCAGCCACTCTCTCCTGGGCTGGGCCAGGAGCTGGAGGAAGAGGTGGTCAGAGGACTGAGGACCGACCCCCTTTGGGAGCTGCTGGTGGGCTCCCTCGGGAACTCCCCCCCAGAGTGGGGCTCTGCTGAAGGCAGCCCTACTACTCCCTGGGCCTCCCCGCTGCCTCTGGAGTCCACATCTCCCCTCTCTGAGCCCAGCGACAGGCCTACTGCTCCCTTCCGGCCCAGGATGGGCACTGTGACCTGGGATACTGCTCTGACAGCCACAGCACCTTCATCCAGTGCCCCCAGGCCCCACCAGACTGAGCTGGAACTGAAGTTTGACATGGCGCTGAGAGCAGGCGCCGCCCCCACACTGGGGCACCGCACGTTGCCCCTGCTGCCCAGTCTGCGGGCCAGCCTGGCAGAGATCGCCGGACGCCTGGGGCCCTTCGGTGAGTACCCGGTCCATCCCGAGGAGAGCCCCTGCTGGGCTGCCTGGCAGGTAGAGGAGGCTTCAGCCAGGGCTCCTTTTGCAGGGTTCTTTGGCACCACTCTGTCCCCACTCCGGAACTTCTCAGGTGCGAGCCCCCCAGACCCCACTACATCCCCAAGCTCTGCCTCCAGAGTCTCGGATTCTCCAGGTGAGTGTTTATTTCATTGCAACAAACATTTACAGGATTATCTCTACATTTCAGGCGCTGTACTAGGGGCCGAACCAGCACTTGCCTTTTCCTTTTGTCCTTGACTCAGGGAAGGTCTGCGTTGCTTCCTCCAGGCCCCGGGGCCTGGGCCACTGCTCCCAGGAGGAAATGCCCTCTTTGCCATAATGAGTCTGGTTTGGCCCTTGGAGTTTAGCTCCTGGTGGACATGTGGCTATAATTCCTGGGACAGTGGCTCTCTTAGGGCAAGTTCTGGGGAAGGACAGGCTTTTCACCAAAAGTCCAGAGGCCAAGGCTGGCTGGTAAGGTGGCACTCAAACCCCATGTGCTCTCTTTGCAGGGTTCTTTGGTACCACTCTGTCCCTGCCCTCATCCTTCCCGGAGACAAAGCTCCCAGGCCCAGGCCCACTAGACCCAACTGCTTCCCTAAGCTCTGCCTCTGTTGCAACAGCATCACTAGGTAAGTGTCCCATTCGTTTGAACTTGACAGTTACTTATTGAGCACTTACTACATGCTGGCCACTAATTGGCATTCTAGGACCCTTTTGTTTCATTGTCATCATAATTATAATCACCGTTCCCTTCATCATCGCCATGGAGATACATGTTAATCATACGAGAACAAGTGGTGCTGGGGATAGTCCCACGCAGAGTTGAGTAATGGTCCTCTGGGAGCTCTGCAACCGCAGGCAGAGCAGGATTAGATGAACGCATCGGGGCAAACAGACACACACACTACTTGAAGATGTCTACAGCCTCAGCACCAACCTCACGCCCAACTGCAGCCTGCCTGGCCCGATCCCCACCCCCACCCCAGCCTGGGGGTTCTCTACTTTGCTGTCTGATTTGACATGACGTGCTGTCAGATATGGGCAGAGCCAGGCTCCTCACTGGGAAGAGGCTGAAGATCTTGAACAGACAGACGCCATCCTTGTTCAAGAAAGCACAAAGATGGGCTGGGGGCGCAGAGGAAAGCCCAGAGGCTCCAGAATCTTGAGACTTGGCTTTAAATCCTGATTCACTTACTAACCATCTTGGTGACCCTGGGGCAGGTTATTTGGTGTCTCTGCGCCTTCATTTTGCTCATGTATCTAGGGTTTAATAATAGTACCTATTTTGTTATTGTGAAGCTTCCAGATAATGTAAGCTCCTGGCATGAGGCTGGGCACAAAGTAGAAGCTCACTAAACAGTAGCTGTTAACCTTGGTTCTTCCTCCCCTGCATTTCAAATACACTTCCAGACCCTACCTCTCAGTCACCGCAACCCCAGGATGAGATGGGATAGCATTTAAGCCACTGGACAGAAGGCACAATGCTCGGGGAGCGGTTCTGGTGGGTGAGGCCGAGGGAGCCATGGAGAGGGACCTCCAGGCCCAGCTTTGCTCTGCAGGGGGTTGACGGTGCCTGTGAATCCTCAGCCACCGCACGCCAGGAACCACCGGTCTCCCACTTCTTGCAGCTCTGGACTTGACACAGCACCTGCCTCCGGCTCACTCCTGCACGCTCACTGCCCTCCCCGGCACGTGGGTCAGGAGGCTGCCGTCTCCTCCCCCTGCAGCCCAGTGTGTGGCAGTGGCAGAATCTGCTGTGGGGTTGGGGCCAGGCTCTGTGGCCTCGGGGGAAGGATGCTGGCTCACGGTCTGTCAGCCTGGGGACGGACGGCACTGGCCAGGCAGGTTTAATGAGTCTGGACAGTATCAGAGGCAGCCCAGCTCACCCGCCCCACCCTCCTCCCCCTCCTCCCCCTCCTCACTGGCCGCTGCAAGAAACCAGCCTCTCCCTGATCGCTCCTCTTGGAGAAACCCCAGAGAGCTACGGTCCTCTTGGAGAGCAGGCCAAGGGGCCCTGCTCGAGCCAGCAGCGTGTGTGGGGAGCAGCGTCAGTTAGGGGACAAAGGGAGTTGCTCTGTGTCTCCTCTAGGATCTTTCTAACTTACGAGTAGTTAACCTTTGACCCCAAGGCTTCTGCTCTCTTTCATTAGGTCCCTTCACCTTGGGCAGAGCTCGTATTCAGCCAGTGCACCTAGAAACAGTTGTATAGGTTGTTAACACATTGAAAGGCTTTTACACCACTTGATAAGTACCCATTGCCCTTCGCCCCCTGAGCACTCCCCTCCACTCTCTGACCACCCTGGCTGGCACCTGTGCCATCTCCAGTTGTTCAATATTTCAAATGTCATCCTCACAAAAGGTATCAATCCTCCATAATCCTGGAGGTGGGGGTGGGGAGAGGGACGGGGCCAGGCCACCGAACAGGCTGCCGCTGCCAGCATCCAGTGTGGAGCCTGCGATCCTCCAGCCCTTTGATCTGGGCAGCTGGTGGATAATCAGGCCTGACTTTCCCATATATCCGGCCAGCCCCTCTCTCCAGCTCCTCCCCAGCTAGCTCCGACCTCTGCAATTACTTACATCGACCGACATACCATCTCCTCCCTGTCCCTGAGGTCAAGAGGGGCCACAGGACCAGAGTGCGACCATCTTGTCAGGGAGGCCTGCTCAGGAGAGGGATCCTAGGAAGTCACTGTCTCCTGGGCTATTCTGGGGGAAACTGAGGGCTCCTTCTGGGGAAGCTTCTAAAGGGGAGGCAGGGGCTGAGGTCAAGGGGACCCTTTTAAAGGCAGAAGCTGGGTCTTCTTCACGGGTCCCCACCCACACGTGGCCCAGTTCTGGACACACTGGGCATGTCCTGCCCCGTGGGAGCAGTGTACCTAGTTAGAACTCCCCACTCTGACACCTGAGCTGTGCCTACACTTTGCCTACTTTCTGGTTTTTATTCTTTTTCTGGCTTCTTCGGAATACTGAAACTTGCTCTAGTTCCCATAGTGCTTTGGGACAGAGGCGAAAGATGGGGTTTCCTGTGGCCCTCAGGTAAGAAGCGGAGCAGATCCAAGAGCTGCGCTTGTCTGCACAGGGAGCGAGGTGAAGGCTTACTGGGTGGCAGGCTGGCTCAGGCTGTGGGGTTCCTGGGTGCCTTCTTCCTCTGCAGAGGAAGACCATGGCCAAGGAAAGACCAGGCAAACTCACCCACTTTGCAGAAGAAGTGGGTTGGGCAAGGGCGTCTGAAAGGACCAAAGAATGAGGACGAGGGAGGGCGCACGTGTATCTGGTCCTGCCAATGTCAGATGGATGCCCGCTGCTCATCTGCAAGGCGTCCTGGCCATGTCTTTACTCATGGCTGTGTCTTCGTTAGGTGTCCAGGGATGGTCAGTCCATCTAAACAGTGTTCTTCCAACAGGGTTCACACGGTGAGCATGTGTCGCTGTTCACTCATTTGACTAATTGTCGATGAGTGAGTAAGTTTAGAATGTGCTAAGGGACAAGAGTCTTTTGTTAGTTAAACAAAAAACTAGTTTGAGGCCAGAAGTGGTCACAATCTCCCAAACACCAACTGATGATTGGTGATAGACATTATCCGATAATGGTGACACTGATGACAGTCATATTTTGCATGCTTATTACGCGCCAGGCACAAACGGCTTTGCACACACTGCCCATTTAGCCTCTAACGGCCTGTGCGGTAGGCACTCTCCCCACTGCAGACGCGAATGCGATGGAAGGGGAGACAGGGCGCCTGCTGCCGTTCGCAGGAGGCAGTGAGCGGTGGATATCTACTTTTTTGGCTGCTCCCTCTCCGCTCTCTGCAGTTGTCTGCTTCTGTCTCCCCTCCTCTCTCTCCAGAGCCCCTTTCTGCCCTCCTCACTCCTTTTCCTTGCTCTCAGAACTGCTCCGCTCTGCGTGTCCCAGCATGAGCAGGCATGGCCGTGCTCCTGGGGTCTTCCTGTATTGCCCAGTGAGGCATGGTTAGACATGGCCCAGCTAGGCAGTTGGTGCAGGTGTCTGGTTGTCAGGAGACCCTCCCCGTCATCCCACATCTGCCTCCTGTGCACTTCCTTGTTCCCGCCAGGCTGCCCCCAGCCCTTCACCCCCATTGTCTGCTTCCATCCTTGCCTGCAGCTACAGTTCTGCTGAGACTGCCGGGTGGAGTAAGGAGAGGCGTCCTCCCTTGCTCCTTGGCCACGGGGAGAATCCTTGGGTCTACCTCCTAACTCCTCTTGCTCCAGGGGAGTACAATTGGAGATCTTACTCCTCCCCTCTCTTGCCTGACTGTCTAGCCTTCAGGAGGTGGGGAAGAGCGCAGGGTGAGGCTGGGGAGTCTGAGTTAGCGAAGCCCAGAGCAACCCCCGAGGGGCTCACTCACTCAGAGCGCACTTTATCCCACTGTGATCTCTGCAGTTGGTCTCTTCTAGGAGTTCAAGGGTAGTCCCGAGACCCAGGGCCGTTCATCTCAATGTCGCCTTCTATAAAATGGGGCTTGAAGCAAAGGGACATCTATATTAAGAGCCTTAGACCGATGGCTTTGTGACTGAGTCAGAGTGAGACCACCGCCACGGGTAGGCCGAGCTGGGGGGCAAGGCAAGCAGAAGGGCCAGTGACCAGGAAAGGTGTTCTCCTCAGGGTGCTGGGCTCACCTCTCCTCCTGCTGCATGTGTGTGTTCACATGCACAAGAGTGTGCCCATGTGTGTGTGTGTGTGTGTGTGTGTGTATGTATGGAGGGGCTTTTCCTGAAGAGACAGGGAGAAGCGGGAAGCATCTGAAAAGGGTAGGGGGAGCTCCTCGTGGCACCAAGACGGGAGCTGGGAGTTAGAGCTGCAGACCAAGAGATGAGCACACTGTACTAGTCACAGGCTCTGGAATCGCAGAAAGGGGCCCAGACTCAGGTTCAAACATGGATTGTAGTGACAGCTCCGCCATTTGTGACCTTGGACGAGCCATTTTGCCTCTTAGTGGACCCTTAATATCTTCATCTGGCGAATAAGAAGATGCACTGATTCACCTGCTCAGTGCCAGTTCCGTGCCAGGCGCCATTCCAGGCACAGGGATTCACGTGTGAGTGAAGCAAACCACATTTTTCTTTTTGAAGCTTCCTTTCTGGTGCAAGATTTGAACTAGAGGGGGCTTCCACAGTCCCTTCCAGTTGTAAAATTCTGGGACTTCTTCAGGAAAACTTTTTGCTGCAGAATCGCAGAGTGAGGAAGGGAACTGAACGCAGCAGGGACCTGGGGGTGGAGTGGGGAGGGGCGATGGGAGCGGAAACTACTTCGTGAAGTGCTTGGTGGGGGAGGGGAAGGTGGGTTGCCAAGAGGAGAGAGGTCGGGCCAGCCTCTTGTTTAAGACCAGTGTGTCCTGGATGCTATGAAAACTCTGGCTGGCAGACATGCTACTGGCTGCGGGGCGGGGAACAAGAGTGGCAGGGGGAGGGCTGTGCAACTGTCTCAGACAAATGTTCTTTGACCACAGACGCCACCGTCCCCTCTTCTGGCCCAGATGACCCCTCTCCTGCCAGCCTCGGGAACCCTTCTGTGCAGCCAGAATGTGGGCCAGGGTCCTGCAGCGCCGGAGAATTGCCTGAACACAAGGGACAGCCTCCTGCGGCCCCGCTGCCCCTCTTTTTCCTCACCTTGGAGGCCGACTGGGCAGAGGCCAGGGCTCGCTGGGGGTTGGCCTGGGAGGCCCATGTGTACGGGGTAGGCGCCCTCTTCGGTCTGGTGGCCTTGCTGGCGCTGCTGGCTCTGGCCCTCTTGCCCTGGCGCTGCCCGCCTGGCGCCCCCTGCCTGGCGCTGCTGGACGTGCTTCTGCTCTCCGCCGGGACCACGCGGGCTTTTCCGCTTTTCTACGACGCCTATGGGCATCGCGACCGGCTGCCGGCGCTCGCCTGGCTGCTACTGCAGGACCTTCCGCTGCCCTGCCTGGCAGCCGGCCTGGGCCTGGCCTGCCTGCTGCTGGCCCGGCCTCGCCCGCCACGGTGTCCCGCAGGCCTGGCCGCGCTGCTGCTCCTGGGTCTGGCGCTGGCGGCCGCCGCTGCCCTCGGGAGCGCCGCCCACCGCCGGCTGAGGCCTTTGCGGCTTGCCTCCCGCGGGCTGCACGCCTTCCTCGCTGCCCTCCTGTCCGGGCTCCTCCTGGCGCTCTCCTGCTGGAGGGGTCGGCGGCGACGAGCCGGAGCGCCCCTGGGAGGGTCTGGCTTCAAGGGGGCCACCCCACTCCCGCAGGCGCGCAGCCCCTTCGCCCCGCGCGATTCCTGGCGGCGCGCAGCGCGCACGGCCCCGGTGGCTGGAACCTTCGGGCTCCTGAGCGGAGCCTTGCAGGGCTACGAGGTGCTGCACGCCCTGGGTTACGGCGGCCAGCCTGGCCTGGAGGGGCCCTGGCCCTGGTGGGCCTTCCAACTAGGCCTGCGTCTGGGCGAGGTGGGCGTCGCGCTCCCGTTGGCTCTGCTGGGCCTCTACCCTGCGCTCTGCAGCCGCCGCGTCCCGCCGCGCTGCTGGGCCAAACTCTTCCGCTTGTCTCCGGGCCACGCGGCTCCGCTGCTGCCTGGACGCTGGGTCACCGGGCCCCCAGACAAGGAGCCTCTGGGTAGCGCCATCGCGCGGGGCGACGCAGAGCTGCTGCAGCTGTGCGCCTTGGCAGGGCCTGGCCCCGACCTCCTTCTCCAGGGTGGCGCCTGCCGGGGCCTCGACGAGGCAGCGGCCAATCCTGCTCCTTCCCCGGCCTCCTCCCCCTGCAGCGACTACACAGTGGACTTCCGCCCGCCCTCCCCAATCAATCTGAGGCGCAGCATCGAGGAGGCCCTGTGCAGCGAGGCCTTGCTCACGCCGGGCCTCTTTCAGGGCCCTGCTTTCAAAGAAGCCCTGCCTGGGCTCAGCCTCTACGGCACCGCCTCGCTGGGGGCAAAGACCGAGGCTGTGCTCAGTGGGAAGTCGGAGGAGGCCCCCAACACCCTCGCGCCCCTGGAGCTTCCCTCTCCCGGGGCCTGGCCCGCGGGCAGTAGCGCATCATCCAGCTCCCTCTGCGGACTCTCCCGGGACAGCTCGTCCATGCTGCTATGCTCCAGCCCAGACAGGCCCCCGCGCTGTCCGCTGGTCTGCGTCCTCAGTCCCCCGCGGCCCTCAGGAAGTAGCCCTAGCCTCCCAGCCTCAGGATCCTACCAGGCCCTGTCCCCACCCTCTCGCGACTCCCCAGAGCCTGCCTCTGAGCTGCAGGGCGAAGAGGCCTCGCTGCAGGAGCAATTCCTGGACGCCTGCCGACAGATCGACGAGCTGAGCACGGGCAGCGACACCATAGACCTGTGAGGAGGAAGCCCCTCCGCGCCTGCTCCTCTGAGACCTGCACACTGTAACCCTTCCCCGGTCTTGCCTGGTTCAGATACCTCTCCCTGTCTCCTTCCGGGTCCGGGGGCTCCTGGGTGGGTGTTTTAGCAGCCAGGCTCTGTTGATTGGGAATTAGTGCCACCTTCTCTGGAGCCCTGGGTGCTGATGCCCTCAGCTACAGTTCTAGGCTGGCAGGGGTCCCTCTTTCCTTGGCATTCACCAGCAATAAAGCTCCAAGGTGCTCCACTCCTGACCACCACTCCCCACTCTGGTGCTGAGTGAGAGGAGCTATCCTCAGAAGACCTCGAGATGGCCCTCAGTCCCCATACCCACCTCTGCCGTGCCCAGGAATCCCATCCCTGAGGGAGTGAGACTTCCTGTTCTCCACATGACCCTTCCCGACAGAAGGGTCCATGGCAGATCTAGGAGACACTACAGCTGTTGGGTGGGAGGTGAGTGTTATTAGAGTTAATTTATCAATAAAATATTTTCAGAGGAGAAAGTCTGGCCTTCTTGGAAAAGCTTAGGTGAGGCAACAGCAGCTTTGGATCCAGAAGAGAAGCAGCGTCTGTGTGGGGCGGGTCTATTTCACACCCGAGGGACCTTCACTCTCAACGGCAAGGAGTCATGTGCTGTGGCTGGTTGAGTGAGGGTCCTGGGAGCAGCCCCCTGAAGACCTGTCGAATCTCTGGGAAGTGGCTTTTGCAGAGACAGAACATGGCCCCAAGAGGTGATGCAGAAACTCTCCAGTCTTTGGTGGAAGTGTCTGCCGTCCTAAGAGCCAGGCTTCAGGTCCAGGTGGGCAGGGGCTAGGGACTAGTTAGTGGTAAAGAGCTCCATGGAAATGCTGATACACATATCAAGGGCTTGATCACCTTGAACTGGGAACCCCAGCAATCTTTCTGCCACATTCCCAGAGGAATTCACATCAGCTCCACCTACTAACAGGGCCTCTTCAAGGTTAGATATGCAACCCTCCTACCCCTGCAGGACACTTACCTTCCATAGGTGCAGATCCCCCTGAAGAGAGCCTGTGGTCCCCAAACTCCAGCCCCATCCTACCTTCCGAAGCATAACTCACAGTGTGGAGACCCATGAATATATCCAAACCACCAGCATTCTGTAATCCCTCCCTTGTCCAGGGCATTTGGCTCTGAGCTCTGTAGCATACATTTATTATTTGGCTAAAGTGCAGAAAGTTCAGAGTGGCACTAAAAGAGGCCCGTAGATTAGGTTTGAAAATGAAAATCTGACAGTGGTTTGGCAGATGTCCTGCATATTACAGAGAGACCTACAAGGGAACACATGCTAGACTTGAAGAGGAAAAAGAGAAATAGGAGTGGTTTTTCTTCCAACTCTGCCCATCAGCTGGCGGGGATTTGAGAAGGGAAGCGGGTGGGGGCAAGAGGAAAGCAGGCAGAGAGATCGGGTCCAGTGCACTAGTGGAAGAATCGAAATACCACTCTCCTTGCACATGAAGATCTGTTCTGGCCAAGAAGAGGGTTCAAGGCCTGGGACCTCAGAATGCAGAGACGAGTCACTGATGTCTGGGGGGTGGGCAGTGAGGAGTCATATTAGGGGAGAAAATGAGAGGAGGGTGGGGCAGGCATGGCTGAGGGATGGGACTGGAGTGGTTCTGACTGCGTCTCCTCCATCACCTGGTTCAGCTTGGCTCAGAAATTCTTGCTGCATCGCCACTCTGGGCTGAGGCCCAGAGAACTGCCAGCCTCCTAATTACAGGCATTTCTCACTGGTGTCCTGGTGGCTGTAGCGCCCCAGCATCAGAGCTGCTTTGTGTCATGGAAGGAGTGCTTGCTGTTTGCCTCTGCCCACACTCAACTTCTCTCTGCCATCTCCTCCTCACCCTACTCGACAGCTGCTCATTCACTGCTCCCGTCAAGGGTTTTTGGGTTCATGCACACACCTCCTGACAAAGCAATCTAAGCCTTATGTACCCCAGTCAGTCTCTCTGTCTGCTTCTCTCTCTCGCTCTCTCTCTCTCTCACACACATACACACACACACACACACACGCGCGCGCACACACAGCTTTTCTGTGTGAAAGCTCTGAATGGGGCTGACGAGATGAGGGTTCGGTAGGGGAACACAGCTGGTTGTTCACCAGCTCCAACACTTTTTTCCAGAGAATTATCTTTGACTTTATAAAGGGGCTGAGATTTTGGTGAGACAACGTTTCCCTTTTGTCTCATACCTCAGCCCTTACCTAAAGCAGGTTTTCCCAGAGGAGTCCAGGTAATCCTGACACATACATACACCCTTCAGTTCCAATTCTTAGTACAGTAGAGAAATGAGAGACAGACAGCTTCATTCATTCCATTTCTGTAAAACATTTTATTGAATACGTACAATGTGTTAGGTCCTGGGGCCAGACAGATGAACAAGGTGATGCTAGCCTTGAATTTAACAAGTGGAAGATCCTTTGGGGGAGGCAGACAATAAAGAGTTACTCTTAAAATTATTACAATAGAACAAGTAACTAGTAACAGTTGTGAAAACTGCTAAGAACAAGAAGTATGCAATGATATAAGAAGGTTTTGTTTGCAAGTGGGAGTGCAGCCAGAGGGATGGGACTTTTGGAGATGCTGGCTGAGAATAGCCCAGGCCCCTCACACTTCCTTTCCTGGCTCCTGCACAGTGATGGATGAGAGAGAGGCCAGTAGTTTATTTCCCCTGGCAGCCGCTTTGCTGGTATGGTACAGGGTACCACAACTCCTGCTATTTAATAAAGAGCCCTGCATGTGTCCTGGGGAAATGGATGAGCAAATATTTCTGATCGAAGAACCATGTGGTGTCCCTGATATGAATGGACAGGAGGGGAATGGGGCTGAGGCTGAGTCTGGGAGACCAGGATGGGGAGCCAGGTCTGAAATCTGGGAATTGTAAACGTGTCAGCTGCAGTGTTATCCTCCGCTAGGGCACACAATTCCTCCACATTGTGGGTGGCTGCTGCCCCCTGATGGGCACAGGGACACAATATCATTTTGTCCTTTAAGGAAGGTTTAGGTCCTAAGTACTTGCAACGTAGCATTGTAGGGGGTGTCCTAAAGGAATGTTGGATCAGCTTTCTTTGGGTTCTTTTCCTGGTGCACACTGCAGCCAGAGCTGGGAAGGCCTCCCCCTAGCTGGGCCCTGAAGCTTGTGCTGAAATCTCTGGGGATGGAATTTTGATTGCTAAAGAGGTGAGGGGGCAGGAGAGGAGAGGAAAAAAAAGGGAGGAATGTGGAATTTCAACCCATCTTTATTTGAATGACCCATCCCATTTCCTTTGTCTATTTCTCTCTCTTTATCCTGCATAGGATTAACCCTATAGCCTTAAAAATTTGTCTGGTATTTCAATACTTTCTCCCCTGAGTTATGTGTTTCGAAACATCTGTGGCATTTTCTTTTAAGTATATATTTATTACTTACTTGGAGCTAGGGGGGCGTTAATCTGATGTTGTGTTCTCCCTTTCCCCCCATTACTATCAACCAGCCATCCATCCACCAGGATTTACTGAAAGTAAATGGGGAAAAGGAAGTTTACTTTTCACTGTACCATTTGTACTTTTTGAATTTCACTACCATGTGTTCAGGTTATACTATTAAAAAGTACTTACACCTGGCTGGCGTAGCTCAGTGGATTGAGCTCGGGCTGTGAACCACAGCATTGGAGGTTCAATTCCCAGTCAGGGCACGTGCCTGGGTTGCAAGCCACGGCGCCAAGCAACCACATATTGATGTTTTCTCTCTCTCTCTCTCTCTCTCTCTCTCTCTCTCTCTTTCTCCCTCCCTTCCCTCTCTAAAAATAAATAAATAAAATCTTTACACAAAGAGAATATATTAAAAAAAAAGTACTTACTAAAAAATGCACTGAGCACTTTTTCAGCTGCATGTTCTGCAGGGTGCTGCAGTTTCTGAGCCCAGTGGGATAGCAAACATTCTCTGTGTTTCAGGATCCAGGAGCACCCAGATTCCCTTACCAGTGAGATCCCCTTAGCCTCGTGTCTGTCTGATAAGCTGACTTGAGAGAAGATCTTCCCCTCTGTCCAGGAGAACCTAGTTACAGGTGTCTGTCTACTCACACCGACTGTATTCTCCCTGAGGGCAGGGACCCTGTCTTTTTTTTTCTCACCAATTTTATCCCTAGTGCCTGACACATAGTAAGAACTCAGTAAAGATATATGGAAAGTGATTGCGTACGATCCTTTTCTATGTGTACTTTAGCAGCTGTAATTTGCAAACCGTTATAAGCAGTGTATAGTTCTCTGTTACAGTGTGACAAAAGTCTCACATTCTCTGAGAACACGAGAATTATTTGATGTTTGTGATGTACTTGTATCCAAGTGCATTCTGGCTACTGTAAGATTTTTCTGCTGAGGAAGAAAGTCAAATCAGCCATAAAGGGGGCAAAAGCAGGATTTTATTGGGGTTGCGCTTCCCCAGAGGTTCTCTGGTCCAGAGTAAGGGGGCCAGAGAAGTCGTGCCCGGGGTAGAGCAGGGGGATTTTTCATACATCAGGGTGGGGCAGGCTTGTCGAGTCTTAGGCAGATAGGGTGCTGTAGTCTCTGTGGCAAACTGAGAATGGCTGACCACTTATACACTTGGTGCCGGGAAGATTTTGGCGGTTGCTTAGCTTGCAGTTTTCTTTGTTTGGCGCCTGCAGTGGGCGTTAACCTTTTCATATCCTGTCCAACACAACATTCCGACCTCTTTGATATGCTATGGAGTGACATTTCTTTCTGGCTACTTCCTGCTGACCTGGGGGCGTCGAGGGGATTGGGGCTCCGAGGTCACGGTTCAGTTGGGATAGGAGGATAGGTGTGAAGGAGCATTTGACTGAACTCTACCCAGGAGACTTCGTGAATTTGTGCTTGTAAAAACTTTAAAAAACAGGGACCAAGCATTAGTAGTATGCCTATGATCAGAAGAGGCCCCAGAATTGGGGCCAACCAGGTGGAAAGGAGGTTTTTCCACCACGGGGATAATATGGTTTGGGAATTTTCCTGGTGGAGCTTGTCCCGTAGATTTTGTAAGGCTTTGATGTTTTTTTCCACTAGGCCACCCTCGTTTAAGTAGAAGCAGCACTGCTCCTGTCTCTGCAGAGAGGCCAACGAGGTAACTGAGGCATCAAGGGTCTTCTCCAGTTTAGGCCGTGGGCTGGCTGGTATCGTCTGGTTAAGGAGAGGAAGGAGGAGAAGGGTGCCCCATAGGGGAGTCATGGTGGGAAGCTGGGTTCTGGGTGAAATGGATCCTGGTGCCTCCCAGGATTTTGGCGGACCACACTCGCTGCCAGCCGGGGCTAGTTTAAGGTGGGAGACATGAACCCAAGAGGGAAGGCCTAAAAGCTTGGCTGCTGTAGGGGTGGTGAGTATTACTGTATGGCGTCCCGTCCACTTAGGCTGGAGTGGTCGGGCTTCAGCTCCCTGAGCAATA